AGTTTTCAATTTTTGGTTTCAAACTGAGGCTATGGTTTCCAGAGAGAACCTACGGGGTAGCCCATCTCTAGAGAAGCAGTCTTGTATCGAAGAGCATTTGCTGGTAGGGAACAGATGACAGCAGCCTACTCATTTCCTTCTCCCATTCTTGTCTTCCTTTGATAAAGTCACTTTCAAGAAAGCATTCTACATTCATTTCAATCCCTGCCCCCAGTTCCCACACACTATGACATCTTGGGGGAGTCTGCTTTTTTCCTTCTCTTTCTTATCCCTGCAGAGAACCACTTACAACATTCTAAAGACATTATAATACAGACTCCACATTTCCAATAATACTCTTATTTGTTTACTTTTTGATTGGCAGCATTGCATGTCTCTGTCATCATGCACATGATGGTTCAGAAGGACACGTGCCGTGTGAGAAGTTACAGGGTTTACAGGGTGTCCTGGTTAGATTTTATTGTCAAGTCCCTACAAACTGGAGTCTCCCTGGGAAGAGGGAACCTCAGCTGAGGAACTTCCTCCATCAGGTTGGCCTGTGGGTGTATTTGTGGGGCATTTTATTAATTGCTAATTGATTTGGGAGGACCACACCCAACATGGGTGGCATCAACCCTAGGCAGGTAGGTCTGGGCTGTAGAAGAAATCTAGCTGAACGTGAACCTGAAAGAGGCCAGCAAACAGCGTTCCACCATGGTCTCTGCTTCAGTTTCTGCTTCCAAGTTCCTGCCCTGACTTTCCTCAGTGATGAAGTATTCTGAAAGTGTAAACAAATAAACCCTGTCCTCTCCTAAGCTGCCTTTGGTGTTTTATCTCAGTGACCGAAACCAAACAAGAAATAAAATGCTTTAATGGTTAAATATAGTTAATAAGCAAAGGCTCAGCTTTACACTGTTAGGCTCTCTGTGGGGAGAACACACAATATCCTTCTTTACAATAAAGAAACGTGTCTGTGTGTCTGTGTATGGATTTGTGCATGTGTGAGCACAGGTATCCACAGAGGCCAAAAGAGGTGATTGGAACCTGTGGAGCTGGAGTCTGAAACATTGCTAGGAACTGAACTTGGGTCCTCTGCAAGAGCAGTATGCACTATTAACCCTGGAGCCGTCTCTCCTCTGCACTCTTTCCACTTTTCAAGATTATAGGAGCAGTTGCGGTCACCTTAAAAATCTCTTCATCTTGTGTGATTGTGACGCCCCCCTTCACCCAATCATCCCAGCCTCAGGTAACTATCATCCTATGTTCTACTTCCATATTTTCAACAAATAACATTCTCCTGCTGTTTCTTAACATTTTTTCATCTTCTGCTACACCATTATGGGTTTCACCCCTTTCTATGCCTCCCAATAATTCTCTCTTTACATAGCACCTGTCACCCAATCACAATTTTTATTTTGATAAAGTTACTATCTGCATTGTTTCAGTTTAGAAATACCTTCCACTGAATAAGTAATATCTGTAAATTGCATTTTAACTGATCTTATTTTTTCCTGGAGTTTGTGTTTGCCTTTCATGTACTTTTTACTATTTCTCCTTAGATTTTCCCAATCCCTTCACCCAAAACGCTCTTATTGATCTTTTAAGAATAACTGCTTTTAACATTTTTATTTATTTGTTTCACAAATTTTTGAGACAGGGTCTCACTCTGTATTCTGGATGGCTTTGACCAGGTAGGAATTCTCCTGCCTCAGCTTCCTCGGTGTTTGGATGACAGGCGTGAACCAAGCTGCCCAGCGAACCTTTTTAAGTGATCAGACACACTGCATCTGTCTGCTGTGTTTTTCCTCTCTGGACCCCTCCTTACAGTCTTCATCTCCTCTTCTAGTCTGAAGTGGTTGATCTTTAGGCTTCCACACAGTTGTCTCCAGTTTACCTCCCACCTGTGAGTTGTGTTTGGTCTCTCTTCCCTGAGCCCACACCTCCCTTTTTCTTTTGTTGGCACATATTATTTAGTAGCCTCCTGAAAGAAGGGTGCACAGACGGGTCGTTTATTTGAAAATTCCACATCTGTAAATGTCTTTCTTTTCGTGTTTGATGGATGGTTAGATGTCGTGTAGAATTCAAGATTAGGACGACTCAGAAATCCAAAGCTATCGCTCCAATCTCCTGATGTCTCCTGTGCTGTTCTTGTCCCCCACGTTGCCTTGTGACAGATTTCCTTTCTCTGAAAGCTTTCAGTGTCATTATTTATCCCGCATATGCTGGTTCTTCATGAGGACACGCCCATGGTCAAGTCTCTAGCTCTCCATTCTGTCAGTCTTCAGTTGCGTTCTTCACTGTGATGTCGCTTTCCCATCCGTTTTACCTGATTTCCGCCCCCTGTATTTCATATAGTTGATTTCATCAGCTGATTGCCTAACTTTATTTATTTACCTTCCCATATATGATGCCTTTTAAAAATTGTTCTACTTTCTGGATAGGGTCTATTATAGTTTCTGGGTAAGTTCTTAACGTTTCTCCTGTAGTATTTCCATCAACCTCCCCACCCCCACCCCCTTTTAAAGGCTGGTAGGATGGCTCAGTGGGTAACCAACCATGCCTGCAGCACAAGCTTGATGACCCAAGCTTGAGGCCTGGAGTTGAGGTCATGGAAAGCAGGCTGGAAGCTGTGTGTGTGTGTGTGTGTGTGTGTGTGTGTGTGTGTGTGTGTGTGTGTGTGTGTGTCTTGTCCCCGGTGCACTTCAGATGGGGATGGTAAGCCGCTGGAATTTTTCTTGGGGGGATAGCATGTGTGAATGTGTATTCTGCACGTGCTGCTTGTTTTACTCAGAGAATAATACAGCCTTCACGCCATTCCTATAGCCCAGTATGTGGATTTTTAGCTAATTTGCTGTGTTTTCAATCTGTGTGAGTCAGGGCTCTGTAAAGGAGCAGACCTAATAGAATGAACATATAACAGAGGGATTTATTAGAGTGGTTTGTGGGATAGGGACTGGGTAGTCCAATAATAGCTGCCTTCACATTTGAGAGGCCGAGAATCTGGTATTTGATCAGTCTTCAAGGGGTGATGTCTCAGAAGTCCTGATCTGGTGCTGAAGGCCTGGAGGATTCCTGGAGAGCCACTGGTCCTCAGTTAACGGTGAAGACTGTAGATACTGGGTTCTGACGGCAGTGAAGGATGGATGGCAGAAAACAGTAAGATAGACACACTCATCAGCAAGAAACAAAGGCAGGCAAGACACACTGATTGTCCCTCAGACCTCTTTATATCTGGGCCAGCAGAAAGTGCTGTCCACTCTGGGAAGAAGGGATTTCCTATCCAAGTTGATCCTTTCTGGAAATGCCCTCACACACCTACCTAAAAGCCTGTCTCTTGGTTAATTCCAGATGCAATCAAGTTGACAGTCAATTAACCATCACACAGTCCTTCTCCAGCTCCATCCTTTTACTATATCCTCTTCTAATCTGTATTTTTGAGTCAATTAAAACACTTTTTTTTGTTGTTGTTGTTTTTGTTTTTCGAGACAGGGTTTCTCTGTGTAGCTTTGCGCCTTTCCTGGAGCTCACTTGGTAGCCCAGGCTGGCCTCGAACTCAGAGAGATCCGCCTGGATCTGCCTCCCGAGTGCTGGGATTAAAGGCGTGCGCCACCAACACCCGGCCAAAACACTTTTTCTTTACTGGGATTTCAGTGGAGTTATGCGAGAAAGAAGAGAAAGGCATGGAAGGCAGAGTTCTGGCTCCTTGATTTCCATCTAAATGACTGCTCACTGCAAGGCTTTGGACATCCCACTCTCCTTTCCCAGGCTGACTGAGCAGACTGTGAAGCGTCCAGGACCTTGTGCTGATGAAGTTTTTGGTTCCTAATCTCTCACCTTGGGCCATCCTGAGCCTGTTGTGAATGTTTTACTGGACAGAAGAAAACAAGTCTGCGAGGAAAGAACTCAGGGGAATGATGGGAGGCAGTGAGCAGAAGGAAGCGGTCAGGTTCTTAGTGCTGGACCCTTGTATCTAATCAAGATGAAAAGACTCTGGAAGAGCAGCTGGACTAGAGCCTCAGGGAAGCAGGGTGGCCCTGGATATACCGCAGTATAGGAGCGGTGAGGTCTGCGCCCGGGTCCACCAGGCAGCTGTGTGTCTATTCTCAGCCATGGCAGACTCAACGGACAGATCTCATCCAAGGTTTTGACGTCTGTGATTTCTAAATATACTTAGGATAGTTAATGGCACTCCTTGGTTATTATGAAGAACATTCTTACTCTTGCCTGAGGGGGGAGAGATCTTGACAGGTGCCTTGATGTATAATTAGGAGGGAATGGTGTTTCACTTCTCTTTGAAGTTTTGAGTATAATCCTCCAGCTTGCCAACTGCCCTGGTTATAGAGCCTGAGTACTGTGGAAACCAGTGGAGCCTGAATGACCATGTGAGCATGGAGAGAGCGATGAAGGGAGACTACTCCATTGGCTGAGCATGGAGAGTTCAAAATGCCCTGCTGGAGACAACGGCAACCACACAGCAGGGCTACCTACTACATGCCAGTGTCCTGCTAAGCATTTTAAATCCATTATGATTTATATTCATTTTAAGGCAGAGCCATGTTTTTAAAGCAGGTAGTTCACTCAAGATGTGTTGTGGATTACATCAGGGCTCCCCATCATGCCAGGATCTATTTTACTCTGTATGTATGTCTGTATGGTATGTGTTGTATGTGTGTGATAAATGTGTGATGTGTGTTGTGTGTGCATATGACATGTATGCTTGTTGTGTGTGCATATGACATGTATGCTGTCTGTGATGTGTTTGCGTGTGTATGGAGTGAGAATATATGTTGTATATAAATATTCTCTGTGTATATATGGTATATAAGTGTGTGTGTATGTAAGTATGGTGTGTGTGAATAGTATGCATGTATGTGTGGTATTTGTATATATGGTATGCAGATGTGTGTGTGTATGGTGTGTTATCTATGTATATGGTATGCAGGTGTGTGTATGTGTGTTTCTCAGTGTATTTTGCAACAGTTTTATGTGTTGCTCTTTTCTAGAAGCCCACATTCAGATGAGTGGACCTCCCTTAGCCAACGATGACCTCGAATCAAATGTGACCACATGAAAGCTCTACTTTCCCTTCATCTTGGGACAACCAAAGGCTGCAATAATAACTTCCTGACTTCCTGCTTCTCCGTCAAGGTGGGAGAAGGCCTGCAGCTCCTGCGGCTGCCGCTGCCTGTGGCTGTCCCTGCCTGCGGCTGTCGCTGCCTGCGGCTGTTCCTTGTCCTGGCCGCCTCTCATCTTCCCTGGCTCCTGCATCTGGAGTGAAGGAACACAGGAGAGACAAACCTGTAAACACACACTGTACACAATTATAATCACACATATCATACATGCCTGTAACCACATACACACATCACACACACTTGTACACATACCTGTATACATACACACTCATACACACACACATCTGTATACACATATACATCTGTATACGCACATATACCTGTACACCACACACACACACACACACACACACACACACACACACACACAGACACACAGACACACAGACACACAATACATACATGCACATGCCATATCAAACTCAATAGTACCAAGGGTCTTTGTACCCTGGTCCCTTTTCTCTTCACTGAGGTCTTGGTTCAAAAGAAGACATCATCTTTGAAAACACTCAGCTGCTCACTCGTGAGTAACTGAGTAACATCTCCTGTCATATTATTTAAAAATAGGAGATATCAATTTATGTTGCTGTCTGTCTGGGCCTTATTGGCACATAGAATCACCACATCCATTTATCACCTATTGGATGATTGTCCCAACTTCAAGTCAATGTTGCTCAACACTGTTTTAGCTAACCTCCCCTTAGACACTTGCAGCACCTGTTGCAGACTGGTTACTAGTTGATTGGTTGACTGTTGCTAGTAGTTTGGAGTTCTCAGGGACCCTTGCAGTGATTGCGTGGGGAGTGCTTGGCCATACTACCTGTGAGGAATGAGAAACACAGGCTGATAAATCCCTGCTTTGTTAGTGAAATCCAAGATGAGAAACAGCACACAATTCTCGGCAGAACCTGCACGGAAGTCCGTGCGTCCATTATGCACACATTTGGCACCTCGTAGGTTTCTTGTGTTTATCAATGCCATTGTTTCACTCTCCGTGTGTTTATACTACAGGCCCCTTCCTTGGGAAACTTTGGGGAGAGTTATCACGAGGCCTGGATAGTCACAGGATCTACCTAGCGTGGGACAGTTGGGACAACCATCTGCAAATTCAAAGGAAGGAAGGGGAAGCAGAGTAATAAACACAGGTAATTGAAATCGTGTTGTCAAGCCAGCCACAGGCCCACGAGGGAACACGCCATGTTTAACAAGCCTGGACCATGAATGCTGGTGTGGTGGTACATTGAATGGTAATAATTCTAGCACTTGGAAGCAGAGACGGGAAGATGAAGAGTTCAAGGTCATTTTGGGCTTGGACTAGGTCCACAAAGGAAGGATACCATAGGTCCATGTCATGACAAGAGACCGGCAACTGAAGGGGAAGTTGGGAACTGAAATGGTGGTTCCCCATCTGCAGACTGAGGTGTCCAGGTACCTATTCCTCTTGCAGAGTGTGGGAGGCACCCCACTGGCTTCCTTCGGTTCTTGCTGTGTGTTAAAGGCTCCTCTAGCTCATCCGCTTTCTCCAAAGGGATCCGTGCAGCGGGGCCGCTTTCTAATCCAGAGCATCACCCTGACCCAGTTCCTCAGCCTCCTCACTTCCTTTGGCTGGTGTTCGGTCTCCAGTGGGAGAGCAGAAGTGGGACTGAGAACAGAAAGGACGTGGGCTTGGTGACTGTGCAATGGTTGAGGTATGAATGGCTGGGACATCAGACGGGAAGGCGGAAGAAGGGCAAGCGTCTGATGATTCATTCCAGTGAGAACTCAGGAGCCGGAGATGAGATTTATATCCTGCGGTTTTGTATGAGGCTGGCGGCGTGTTCCCTTTGATTTGGACGGTTGGCCGAGGGCAAGTGTTTGAGAACACTGTGTGCCTTTTGCTACTGCTTGCCTCTTTGCTCCAGCTTCAAGAGATTTGGTCAGATCAATTTCATGGCCTTCCTGTGGTTGGAGACACACAGCTAACTCTGATCAGTGAGCTGATGCAAAGTAACATGGGTCTGTTCTCACCTGGAGCATTTATTTTAATTTTTAAAATTAAACTGAGTGTGGTTCT